TCCACCCTTCTCTGTCCTCTCTTTCCCTCAGTTACTGTCACCGGTCTCCACATTCCCTCCCTACGCACTAACCTCCTCTCCCAAAGGTCCCTCCAACAAGCCAATATCACCACTGTCTTCCCAGGTGGTGCTAACTACTGTGCCCTTTACAATACTGCTACACGTCACCTTCTCTCTCGTATTCTCTTCTGTCCTCGTTCCCGTCTGTACACCCTTCGGCTTCCCCACCCCCCCCACCTGCCAAGTCGCCTCTCCCTCTCTCCTCCCCCCCCCCTCCCCTCCCTCCCACTAACCCACCCCTCCCTCCCCGCCCCCCTGACTCTGACTGTTCCTGTCGCTCCCTCTCCCACCCTACCATCCTCCTCCATCACAGGCTAGGTCACCCTAACTTCGCTACTCTGCGCTCCTCTGTCTCCTCCGGTCTCCTCCACGGTCTCCCCTCTTCCCTCCCTCCCCTCCCCAAATCCCCTGCCCCCCCCCTGCACTGTCTGCGTTCAGAGCAAGCTCAAGCAGCAGCCGCACCGGAGCTCCCCCTCCGCTGCTGCACAGCCACTTGATCTTGTTCACATGGACCTCTGGGGCCCTAATCCCTCTCCCACTCGCCAGGGTCATCGCTACCTTCTCGTGCTCGTTGATGATCACAGTCGGTACTCGTCCGTCTCTCTCCTTCGGACGAAGGCGGACGCCCCGGCTGCGATCATCGCCTGGCTCGAGCGGGCAAACACCCATTTTGGGCGCCCTGTTTGCCGCCTTCACTCTGATGGTGGTGGTGAGTTCTTTAACAACCAAGTCTCCTCTTATTGTCAGTCTCGTGGCATTCTTCAGACTTACACCCTCCCTCACTCCCCACAGCAGAACGGTGTGGCTGAGAGTCGTGTTCGAGAGATCACCAAAACAGCCCGATGTCTTCTTGTCCACACCTCCTACCCCCATTCTCTGTGGGGCTACGCCCTCCTTCACGCCGCCCTCCTTACTAACCTTTACCCTCACCCCCTTCTCCCTTCCACCACCCCCACTGAGCTGTGGACAAAGGACAAGCCTGATGTCTCATCTCTTCGTGTTTGGGGCTCAAAGGCATATGTCCTTATTCATCCCTCTGACCGCTCCCGCTCCATGGGAAAGCTTGCCCCTCGCACCCTTCCCTGCATCTTCCTTGGTCATAACCCTACCTCACCTGACTACCTTTTCCTCCATCCCTCCTCAGGTCGTCTAGTCCGCAGTAGGGATGTGGTCTTTGATGAGTCCACTCCCTACTACTCATCTCCCCCATCCACTGACCCACTCCCCCCTCTCACCCGTCCCCTTGTCTGGTCTGACACCACCCCTCCCCCATTACTCCCTCCTTCCCCCATCCTCCCGCCTCCCCCCCCTCCATCGTCCCCGTCCCACGGTGCCCCTCCCTCGTCTGGTGATATCTTTGACCCGGAACCTCTGTCCTCTCCGGTCTCCCCCACACATTCCTCTCCCAGTACCCCTCCCCCCCTGCTCTCCCCTCCCTCGCCACCGACCTGTCCCTCCCCTCCTCCTCGCACCGTAATTACCCAGTACCCCATACCAGGTCACGTGACGGTATCCTTGGTGCACCGCCCCCTGTTACCCTCTCTTCCTCTACCCTACCCCTCTCTCCCCTCTCCTTCACCACTTCTTCCAGGCTGTTTTGCATCAACCTCCTCCTGCAGCAGCCCCCTCTGCCTCCTCTCCCTCACCAGCAGCAGCGTCCGCAACGGCACCAGCAGCTGCACCAGCAGCAGGACCAGCAGCAGGACCAGCAGCGGCACCAGCAGCAGGACCAGCAGCGGCACCAGCAGCAGGACCAGCAGCGGCACCAGCAACGGCACCAGCAGCGGCACCAGCAGCGGCACCAGCAGCGGCACCAGCAGCGGCAACAGCATCGGCACCAGCAGCGGCACCAGCATCAGCACCAGCAGCCATCCCCGCCTTCCACACCTCCCTCTCTGAGGACTCCCATGAGGAGTTCCTTGACCTCCACCTCTGTAACCCCTCGCTTCTACCCATCACATTCGACCTCTCCGGCACACCCGTCTTCGCCTTCTCCTCTGCTCTCTCCATTTTCATCCCTACCACGTATGCGGAGGCAATGGCTTGCCCCGACGCCCCTCTCTGGCTCGCCGCCATCATCAAGGAGCCGGAGGCCTTTATCGCCAACTCCTCCTTCGTTGATGTGCCTCGCCCTCCCGCCTCTACGAACGTGGTGAAGGGGAAGTGGGTGTTTCGCGTCAAGCAGCTGCCAGGGGAGCCGCCCGTCTACAAGGCTCGTTACTGTGCCAAGGGCTTCACGCAGCGGTATGCTGTTGACTTCTTCGATACCTTCTCCCCTACCGCTAAGCCTGCTACCGTTCGAGCCGTGCTCGACCTCGCCGTTCGCCTAAATATGGAGATCCACTCGATGGACGTTTCTAACGCCTTTCTGCAAGGCGTCCTCCACGAGCTAATCTACATGGAGCGTACAGCCGGCTTTCATCTTCCCTTCCCAGCCAACTCTGTCTAGCAGCTGCGTCGACCTGTGTATGGGTTCCGACAGGCCCCTAGGGAGTGGCATGCTAATCTTGCCGCCACCCTTGCTGAACTTGGGTTTCGCACCTCCCGCTCCGACGCCAGCCTCTTCCTCTGCGCCTCCCCCTCCCCCTTCTACATCTTTGTGTATGTCGATGACATGTTTCTGCTCACCGCCGACCTTGCTGAGCTGGAGCGTGTTAAGGCTGAGTTGGGTAGCCGTCTCAAGTGCAAGGACTTGGGAGAGCTGCAGCATTACCTGGGCATGACCATCACCCGCGATCGCTCTGCCCGCACCATCTCTCTCTCCCAGGGTCATTACTTGCAGCAGGTCTTGGAGCGGTTTGACATGGCCCGGGGCGGTGCCCAACATACTCCTCTTTCTGTCGGGCACCACCTCTCTCCACCCACCTCCCCCTCAACGTCCTCCCATCCTTATCCCGAGCTCGTCGGCTCCCTCATGTACGCCATGATCTCCACTCGCCCTGACCTTGCCTACCCCATCAACGTCCTCGCTCGTTTTGTTGGCGCAGGCAAACATACGGAAGAGCACTGGCAGGCCGCCAAGCGTGTCCTCCGGTACCTTCGTGGCACCAAGGACTAGACATGAGCAACGAACGAACCGAACACGTTTGTCTCGAACAGTTTGCGAACACTTGGTCAATTCGAACCGAACCGAACACGTTTGACTCGAACAGTTTTCCTAAATGTTAGTGTTCCCCGTTCGAGTATAGGGTCGAACAGTTTTGAGTCAAGGCCGAACACTAAGGTGTTTGACCCGAACTCGAACAGTTTGCCTTGGGGGGTTCTTTCAGTATAGTTACATTCAGGCAGGGCGAGTGTACTAGAAGCAATGTCACGTTCCCTATAGCCCTACAAGAGATATAGTTAGGCTTGGTGCAGATCTGGTGGATATCCAATTTTGCCTTGCTAAACTCCAACCTAAACCGTAATGCCCTTAGTTCCTTTTTTTAACCGTCTCCTACCCTAATCCAACCTTATACCTAAAGTTTCCAGCCACAAAGTGGAATTTTAACTGTGGGAATGTGTTAGTTTAAGTGGGTAGGGGGCGGAATGCCATCCTTAGGCTATATCGACGATTGAGCTCATTCTTGAGCTAAATCGTCGCCCTCCCCTTTTAGATCCAACCAGCGCGTCAAACTTTGACGCGCATAAAAATGCACGAACACCTAGGTGTTTGCGACGAACACATTGTGTTCGCGAACACCTTGGAGTTGGTGCATTTTTCTCCACACGAACACTCGAACAGCCGAACGTGTTTGTGACGAACACCTTGGTGTTCGTCACGAACAATTTTGGGCAAAAAAACCATTCGAACACGTTCGAGTCGAACACTTTCGAGTCAAACCGAACACGGGTTCGAATTTTTGCTCATGTCTACCAAGGACAATGTCCTTACTAGACATGAGGACAAGGGCGAACACGTTCGAGGCGAACCGAACAGGTTTGTTTTTTTGCTTAAATTGTTCGCCGAACAGTGTTCGATGTTCGCCCGAACACGTTCGTGTTCGGGCCGCTGCTGCAATTTGCCCCGCGACGAACACGAACGTGTTCGAGGTTCGCTCGAACACGCCTTCACAGGCGAACGTCGAACACGTGTTTTTGCTTAAAGTGTTCGCCGAACCGAACAGTGTTCGGTTCGGCAAACGGATGTGTTCGTCTAGGGGCGAACACGAACATGTTCGTGTTCGCCCCTTGCTCATCCCTAGTCCTTACCCTTGGCGGCCCCTCCCCACCTCTCCTCAGCGGCTACAGTGACTCCTCCTGGGCTGATTCTCGACCGGATCGTCGCTCCTCCCAGTGCTATGGCTTCTCTCTTGGCAGCGGCCTTATCAGCTGGCGCTCCACCCGCTCCTCGACTATCGCCCTCTCCTCCTGCGAGGGGGAGTTGTATGCCGCTACCATGGCTGCGCAAGAGGCCCGCTGGCTCACCTTCCTTCTTGAGGAACTTGGTGCCCCCCAGCGCTCTCCCACCATCTGGTGTGACAATGCCACTACCATTCACCTCACTAAGGATGCTGTGTTTCACGGGCGCTCCAAGCACATTGAGCTCCGTCATTTCTTCGTTCGCGATCTTGTTCATGCGGGGCACCTTCAGCTCGACAAGATTGACTCGGCGACCAACCTTGCCGACATCTTCACAAAAGCTCTTCCTCATGCGGCTCACTCTTCACTACTTCATCTCCTTGGCCTCACTCCTAAGTCGCCTCCCGCCTCTTGATTCTAGCCTTCTAGCCTTATGCATGTTAGGGGGTTGTGTTGTAATTTCATATTTTATACAACATACATAGGATAGAATTAGATGTGTAGCACATTTATAAATTGGGGGGTTGTTTAGTGTACCCTCCAACCACATTTTGTGGTTGGTTGGGATTGGTCCTTAACTCAACCAATCCCAACTAAGACACATTTGTGGTTGCTTGGGCCATAAGCAAGCTCACCCATTGGTCAACATATTGGTCAATATGGTAAGCTTCCCTCTCATCTCTCTCTTGCTCATAATTTATACTAAAGGGCCTTTTGGCTCATTATTCAATTCATCAATTCTCTCCTTTCACACATAAGGCATGGGCTATGGGTCATGGGGCATGGGACATGGCATGAAGCATGGGGTGTGCCGGCAGCATGACACACCACGGTCATCTTAGCAGGGCACTTAGTCTAGCCTATATAAGGTCACTTGAGCTCAACTTACTCTAAGAAAAGCCGAGGTTGTATCTGGACAAGTCCATAGTCTCGTTTGTCTGCTCTATATTCCAGCGACATCTCGCCCGTAACCTACCAGGCTTCCAAGCACACTCTTGCAAGCCTCACCCACCGCACTCATCTCCTCTTATTCCTCTCACCCACCGCACTCATCTCCTCTTATTCCTCTCACCCACCACACTCATCTCCTCTTATTCCTCTCACCCACCGCACTCATCTCCTCTTATTCCTCTCACCCACCGCACTCATCTCCTCTTATTCCTCTCACCAACCGCACTCATCTCCTCTTATTCCTCTCACCCACCACACTCATCTCCTCTTATTCCTCTCACCCACCGCACTCATCTCCTCTTATTCCTCTCCCCCACCGCACTCATCTCCTCTTATTCCTCTCCCCCACCGCACTCATCTCCTCTTATCCCTCTCCCCCACCGCACTCATCTCCTCTTATTCCTCTCCCACACCGCACTCATCTCCTCTCATTCCTCTCCCCCACCACACTCATCTCCTCTTATTCCTCTCACACACCGCACTCATCTCCTCTTATTCCTCTCACCCACCGCACTCATCTCCTCTTATTCCTCTCACCCACCGCACTCATCTCCTCTTATTCCTCTCACCCACCGCACTCATCTCCTCTTATTCATCTCACCCACCGCACTCATCTCCTCTCATTCCTCTCCCCCACCGCACTCATCTCCTCATATTCCTCTCCCCCACCGCACTCATCTCCTCTTATTCCTCTCCCCCACCGCACTCATCTCCTCTTATTCCTCTCCCCCACCGCACTCATCTCCTCTTATTCCTCTCCCCCACCGCACTCATCTCCTCTTATTCCTCTCCCCCACCGCACTCATCTCCTCTTATTCCTCTACCCCACCGCACTCATCTCCTCTTATTCCTCTCCCACACCGCACTCATCTCCTCTCATTCCTCTCCCCCACCGCACTCATCTCCTCTCATTCCTCTCCCCCACCGCACTCATCTCCTCTTATTCCTCTCCCCCACCGCACTCATCTCCTCTTATTCCTCTCCCCCACCGCACTCATCTCCTCTTATTCCTCTCACCCACCGCACTCATCTCCTCTTATTCCTCTCACCCACCGCACTCATCTCCTCTTATTCCTCTCACCCACCGCACTCATCTCCTCTTATTCCTCTCACCCACCACACTCATCTCCTCTTATTCCTCTCACCCACCGCACTCATCTCCTCTTATTCCTCTCACCCACCGCACTCATCTCCTGTTATTCCTCTCACCCACCACACTCATCTCCTCTTATTCCTCTCACCCACCGCACTCATCTCCTCTTATTCCTCTCACCCACCACACTCATCTCCTCTTATTCCTCTCACCCACCACACTCATCTCCTCTTATTCCTCTCACCCACCGCACTCATCTCCTCTTATTCCTCTCACCCACCGCACTCATCTCCTCTTATTCCTCTCACCCACCGCACTCATCTCCTCTTATTCCTCTCACCCACCACACTCATCTCCTCTTATTCCTCTCACCCACCGCACTCATCTCCTCTTATTCCTCTCACCCACCGCACTCATCTCCTCTTATTCCTCTCCCCCACCGCACTCATCTCCTCTCATTCCTCTCTCCCACCGCACTCATCTCCTCTTATTCCTCTCCCCCACCGCACTCATCTCCTCTTATTCCTCTCCCCCACCGCACTCATCTCCTCTTATTCCTCTCCCCCACCGCACTCAGCTCCTCTTATTCCTCTCCCCCACCGCACTCATCTCCTCTTATTCCTCTCCCCCACCGCACTCATCTCCTCTCATTCCTCGCCCCCACCGCACTCATCTCCTCTTATTCCTCTCCCCCACCGCACTCATCTCCTCTTATTCCTCTCCCCCACCGCACTCATCTCCTCTTATTCCTCTCCCCCACCGCACTCATCTCCTCTTATTCCTCTCCCCCACCGCACTCATCTCCTCTTATTCCTCTCCCCCACCGCACTCATCTCCTCTTATTCCTCTACCCCACCGCACTCATCTCCTCTTATTCCTCTCCCACACCGCACTCATCTCCTCTCATTCCTCTCCCCCACCGCACTCATCTCCTCTCATTCCTCTCCCCCACCGCACTCATCTCCTCTTATTCCTCTCCCCCACCGCACTCATCTCCTCTTATTCCTCTCCCCCACCGCACTCATCTCCTCTTATTCCTCTCACCCACCGCACTCATCTCCTCTTATTCCTCTCACCCACCGCACTCATCTCCTCTTATTCCTCTCACCCACCGCACTCATCTCCTCTTATTCCTCTCACCCACCACACTCATCTCCTCTTATTCCTCTCACCCACCGCACTCATCTCCTCTTATTCCTCTCACCCACCGCACTCATCTCCTGTTATTCCTCTCACCCACCACACTCATCTCCTCTTATTCCTCTCACCCACCGCACTCATCTCCTCTTATTCCTCTCACCCACCGCACTCATCTCCTCTTATTCCTCTCACCCACCCACTCATCTCCTCTTATTCCTCTCACCCACCGCACTCATCTCCTCTTATTCCTCTCACCCACCGCACTCATCTCCTCTTATTCCTCTCACCCACCGCACTCATCTCCTCTTATTCCTCTCACCCACCACACTCATCTCCTCTTATTCCTCTCACCCACCGCACTCATCTCCTCTTATTCCTCTCACCCACCGCACTCATCTCCTCTTATTCCTCTCCCCCACCGCACTCATCTCCTCTCATTCCTCTCTCCCACCGCACTCATCTCCTCTTATTCCTCTCCCCCACCGCACTCATCTCCTCTTATTCCTCTCCCCCACCGCACTCATCTCCTCTTATTCCTCTCCCCCACCGCACTCATCTCCTCTTATTCCTCTCCCCCACCGCACTCATCTCCTCTTATTCCTCTCCCCCACCGCACTCATCTCCTCTCATTCCTCGCCCCCACCGCACTCATCTCCTCTTATTCCTCTCCCCCACTGCACTCATCTCCTCTTATTCCTCTCCCCTACCGCACTCATCTCCTCTCATTCCTCTCCCCCACAGTCCCCTCACACCTGGCGGGCGGCCTGGGAGGCCTCGAGCTCCTCAGTGAGGGCGCTGGGCACGGCAGCGGCTTGCCAGTCCCACTGCTCTGCGTGGGCTGCCATGTGGCGGCGGAAGGCGTCTCTCGTGGCCTTGTTGGCCGCCACCAGGTACGCCACTCGCCCCCTGCAGTCCCGCTCCGTGGGGTCAACTCCCTCCTGCAGCAGCCGCGTCACCTCCGCGTGGTTGCCTGCTTGAAGAAGAGCAGCGAGAGAGAGGAAATATGAGTGCATGGCGTGGGGTTGAGAGAGAACGAACAGGAAAGGAGCAAAACAGAAGAGCACACCCAGCGTTGTGCCATTGGTGCTGGGACGAAAGGTGTTGTGAGAATGGTGTGAACCGTGCGAAACATCCTTGAAGCAACCCTGTGAATCACGACTCTCACCACACCCGCTGTGCCCACCATCCACCCACCTGCAGCAGCTGCCACATGTAGTGCCGTCCTCACCCACCCTTTCCCCGCTGCCTCCTTCTCCTCCACCTCCCCTCCACTGGCCCCACTCGCCTCTCCTCTCTCCTCCCCTTCCCTATCTCCCTTCAACTCCACATCCCCGTCGCCCTCCCTCCCAGTGCCCCGCAACCTTTCCTCCACCTCCCTCTCACCCATCTGCACCCCACCCTCTCCCTCGCTGCGCTCTGTCCCCTTCTCCCCCCCACTCACTGCCACCACCCCCTTGCCAGCCACAGCCAGCTCTCCCCCCTCCTCACACCCCACCCCCGCCGCCCTGCCCTCGCCCCCCTCGGCCCCCTGCGCCCAACCCAGCACGTGCACGTGTGCCAGCGAGTGCGCCACGCGCAGCGCCTCCTTGACGGTGGGGCGGCGCACGGGGAACGGCACTCTCCGCACCCGCGGGTCGCGCGCCTGCAGCAGCACTGCCCCCGCCCCCGCTGTGCCCCGACTAGCTTGGGCCTCTGCCGCGGTGCCGAAGAGTGCAGCGCGGTTAGGTGTGGTGGCGTGCACGAAGATGAACTGCGCTTGAGCCAGGTAGGGCTGCCAGCGCTGCAGCAGGGCTCGGATGTCCTGAGAGCGATGGGGGGGACGAGGAGTTGGGGGAGAAGAAGAATAGGGGCATCGGGAACAAAATGAGGGAATGCACGAGGGTAAGGGTAGGAAAGAAAGAACAGGAGAAACGGGAAAGGGACAGGGATGGAGAGGAGAAAGAAGGATAAGGCAAACAAAAGAGAGAGGAAAGGCAGAAGGGCTGATACATGAGGGGGCACGTTGGTAGAAGGCAAAGAAGCATTCAGCAAGCAACGCAAGAACGAATGCGAGACACGTGGTGCTGGTTAACCGGGTGAGCTCCAGCAGCCCCAGGGGTGAGCTCCAGCAGCCCCAGGGGTGAGCTCCAGCAGCCCCAGGGGTGAGCTCCAGCAGCCCCAGGGGTGAGCTCCAGCAGCCCCAGGGGTGAGCTCCAGCAGCCCCAGGGGTGAGCTCCAGCAGCCCCAGGGGTGAGCTCCAGCAGCCCCAGGGGTGAGCTCCAGCAGCCCCAGGGGTGAGCTCCAGCAGCCCCAGGGGTGAGCTCCAGCAGCCCCAGGGGTGAGCTCCAGCAGCCCCAGGGGTGAGCTCCAGCAGCCCCAGGGGTGAGCTCCAGCAGCCCCAGGGGTGAGCTCCAGCAGCCCCAGGGGTGAGCTCCAGCAGCCCCAGGGGCAGCCAAGGCGACAGCCATCAACTCTTCACACCATCGCCCCCTCATCCCACCCCACCTTGACGAGCGCCGCCTCGTTGTAGCGCCTCAGGCTCGCCCCCGCTGACTGCGGCGCCCTGCCCGCTCCGTCCCTCGTTGCCTGCCGCCCCCCCGCCTTGGCTCGCACCACGTACCTGATGGGGGGCAGGGCGGGCAGGGGCGGGCAGCGGTGCACAGGGGCGGACATGGGTGGAGAGGGGAGGGGGAGTGGGGTGCAGGGAGAGGTACAGCCTCCGCAGCCATGGCCAGCTCCTCACCACTCCATGTCACACGGCTCCTCCTTCCCCTCGCAGTGCCCCCACACGTCATTCCCCCATGCTCCCACTGTGACGTCCAACCCCACCACCCATGCATGTGTGCCACACACACGTCCCCTTCCTCCCCCCTCCCCTCCATTCCTCCTCCTCCCCCCTCCCTGCACGCACCGGTGGAAGGAGCGGTGGGCGAGCACGGCGCCCCAAGAGGCAGCGTCCACCACCACGGCAGCGAAGTGCCCCCCCGAGCTCAGCACCACCACCCACACGCGCTCCCCGCCTTGCCCCCCGCCGTCCCTCTCCTGAACCCCCGACTTCACCACCGGCGTGCCTCCTCTCCCCGCCTCCACCTGTGTTGCACCCCCGCCTGCCTTGCCCCTCGCTGAATTCACCAAGGCACCCCCCGTGCTCCTTCCCCCATCCTTTTCCCCAGCCTCCGCACTCCCCTCCCCACCTCCTCTGAATGCTACCCCGTCCGTCCCCCCTGCCCCCTCCCCCAGCGCCACGAGCGCCTGCAGCAGGTCCGCGCCCTCCTCTGAGGGGGCAGGGCGGCAGAGGCGAGTAGCCGGGCAGGGGAAGACGGGGAAGGAAGGGGAGCAAGGGGGGAGTTGGGCACAGCAGGGAACAGTGGAGGTGGGAGGTGGGCACAGTGGGGAGGTGGGTACCTGGGGGGAAGAGCGCACCTGGAGGGAAGAGCGCACCTGGGGGGAAGAGCACGCGCCAGAGGGCGAAAGTGACGCCTGTGTGGGGCAGCACGAAGTGCACCTTCGCCCCGCGCCCTGCCCCTGCCACCCTGCCCTCCCCCTGCTGCTGCTGCCCCTCGTCCGCGTCGTCCCCCCCTTCCTCGTCCTCCGACCCGGAAATGCTCGACCAGTCATCGTCCTCCTCGCCTCCCCCCTCCCCCTGCTGCTCCTCTACTGCCCCGCCCGCCCCGCCACTCACAGCAGCGCCCACGGCATCCGTACTGCCCTGCCTGCCCCTGTGCCTTCCCCCCTCTCCTCCGCCCTCCCCCGCGCGTCTGGCGTCCAGCAGCTCCGCGAAGGCCTCCTCGGACAGCACTGCGCGGCCAGAGGCGCGGCGCTTGACCTGGTAGGGGGGGGGAAGAGGAGAGGGGGAGAGACGAGGAGGACACAAGGAGAGGAGGAGCAGAGGATGATAGAAGCGGAGCGAAGGGAGGAGATTAGGGGGAGAGGAGGAGAGGAGAATTGGAGAAGAGTGAGAAGGAAAGGAAAGGAAGGCATGATGGGGGCATGGGGCATGGGGGCAGGAGGGATGGGGGCAAGGGGCACAGCAGGGCGGCGCACGTTGAGGCGGTGCCAGTCGCTCTTGAAGTGCGCGCGCTGCTCCGCCACGGCATCAAACGCCTCCCCGCAACTCCAACACGTCAGCCCTCGCCGCTGGCCGCTCAACCCCTCGCTGCCGTCACTCTCGCCCCTCCCCTCCGCGCCCTCGGCGCAGCGAACCGTGTCAGTGCGACCGCCGTCCGTCGTCTCGACGCCCGCCGCCTGCGCTGCCCCGCCAGGGCCTGGCGGAAGCGAGTCGGGGGCGGCGGAGGCGAGGAGGGCAGCGCGGAAGGGGAAGGGGCCCTTGGCGAACAGCGAAGGCGGAAGCGCTGCTCCCGCGGTGCCCTCACTGGGGGACGCGCTCGCGGCGCCGCGAAGCTGAGCGCGGCGTGAAGGCTTGCTGGCCATGGCTGACGCTCTCAACCTCCCAGCTTGAGATCCTGCCCAGTTCTGCTACTTGCCCGCCTAGATGCTGAGGTGAGATGAGAATTGTATTGCGCTGCTGATTGCTACATCGCAATTATTAGCATGTCCATCTTATTTCAATTCGATATCTATCTTCATATCGTGCCGCTGCTCGCTGGCATGCGTTTTCCCAAGTTTTCCACTTAGTTGATGTGTTTGCGTTTCAGTATGTTAGGAACAAAGGATGATTGCATTAGGTCAAAGGGAGGTACAAGTAGAAGGTCGAAAAAAATGTTGTACCCCCTAAGGCTAAACCCACTACAGACAGGGTCTTATTTATCATAAATTTCTTGTCTGATTGTCTGAGTTTCAGACCTACTTTTATGTTTTCATCTGATTGCCTAGACAGGTAATTTTTTTCATCTGAAATTTCAGATATGATTTTTTTATTTCGTCTGATTTTTCAGAAATTTTATAAGATTTCGTCTGAAATGCAAATAGCGGGTTTTTTCTCGTATGACGCCAAGTGAACAGACGGTGCAATCTAAGCCGTCGATGTCGATTTTGGAATTCTGACCGTTGGATTAAGCATACAACCATCTCGGATCATGTGCATTCACTGACTTATTGGGAATCTCGCCTCCCGTATAGAAGGGAGAAATTAAAAAAGGTAAAAATATATCAAACAGATCGTCTCAAACTTCAAACTCCTAAGGTTAATTCGTCCGAAAATCCAGACATCAGAAATTTTTTCGTCCGACAATCAGATGAAGCAAAAAAACTTGGTCTGACGTTCGAACGGGCTCAAATACTAAAGTTGTCCATGACTACAGACTAGTACAATATAAGCATATATGTTTTAACACACCCCAACAGGCGAATTGGGGAATAGCCGGAGCAAGCAATGGTCACAAGACCAGTCAAGAGAAGAAGCAAAGCAAAGCAATGCTTAGAGTGGATCTCAAGATCACAATGCATTCCTAGCACAAGCAAGTGGCGACAAGGCCACTTCACATGCAGAGTTTATAATAGCAAGAGCAGTACACTGAGCACAACCTAGCTGTCAGAATCCCAGTCACTAGACCACTGGGATAAAAGGGCTTATTAAGTAGCGGGTCAGTGCGCGAATTGTGAATTAAGAAAACAGGAATGAAATGACTAAGTGAAAGTTGGGTACAAAAAGCAAACCCTAGAAAACTGTACCCCATATGTGCTACCCCACTATAGCCTACAGTAGCTATGTCATATAAATCTGACACACCCCCATAGGCAAAGTGGGGGAGAACAAGGGGTCACAAGACCAGTCAAGCAAAGCAAAACAAGCTCAGGGTGGATCACAAAGTCACCACACATTCCGAGCACAAGTTCAAGGCCACAAGGCCAGTTCACATGCAGGATTACATATATATATAAGGCTAGACAAGCAAGAGCAGGTGTATATATATATGCAACAGTACAAACAAGGTCAAGGGGTGAGCAAGTGAGGCAAGGTAGGCACAAGACCCAGCTGAGTACAGAAGCGCTGATGATCATAAGGCGCAAGTGCCTTGGTGAAGATATCAGCAGTGTTGGCCTGAGAGGCCACGTACGCAAGCCGCAGCTGACCACGCTGCTGTAGCTCACGAGCAAGGAAGTAGCGGAGAGCAATGTGCTTCGTTCTGTGCTCCAGTCTCTGCTCTCGACACAAGGCCAGCATGGCCTTGTTGTCTACGTACAGCACTGGAGGAGAACGAGGCGGCTCTCCGAGGTCAGTCAGCAGGTAGGTGAGCCAGCGAAGCTCCTGTGCAGCCATGGCCCCGGCGTAGATCTCAGCCTCACAACTGGAGCCGAGAACAGAAGACGAGCGGGTAGCCCGCCACGAAACAGAGCCGGAACCAGGGCTGAAGGTGTAACCCTGTGACGACCGCTGCGTAGCCTGGTCGTCAGCCCAAGAAGCGTCAGCGTGCCCAGTGAGGACCACTGGACTCTGCCCTCCAAGCACAAGCCCCATGCCCGACGTACTGCACAAGTAGCGCAACACCCTCTTCGCTGCAGCCATGTGCTCCGGTCTGTGTCTCCCAGGAGCAACATAGCGTGCAAGAATGCTAAGAGGGTACGCAAGGTCAGGTCGTGTGCAGGTCATCAGGTACATGAGGCAGCCAACAAGCTCTGGGTACGGGCCACTCGACTCTACGGACTCATCCGAAGGCAGAGCTGAGAGCGAGTGGCGAGTAGGCAGAGGAGTGGCCTGAGGCGAGGAGTACGTGAAGCCGAAGCGCTGAAGGACCTGCTGCACCATGTGTGACTGAGTCAGGGTAATGGTGCGGCGTGCTCTGTCCCGGGTGATCTGCAAGCCAAGGTAGCTGCGCAGTTCACCCAGGTCTGTGCACGTGTGTCTCTTCTGCAGCTCGGACTTCACGTGGGCGAGTCCAGCAGTGTCAGCTGTGGCAAAGACCAAGTCGTCGACGTACACGAGGATGTAGAACGGCGGCAGAGAGGTGTCGGTGCGTAGAAACAGCGACGGGTCGGCAGTAGAAGGAGCAAACCCAAGAGCCGCAAGCGTAGTCCTCAGTGTGTCGTGCCACTCACGTGGCGCCTGGCGGAGACCGTAGACTGGACGCCGGAGACTCCACTGGGTACCAGGAGGGAAAGACCCAGTGAAGCCAGGTGGGCGACGCAACCAGATCTCCTCGTGCAGGCTGCCCTGCAAGAAAGCAGTGCTGAAGTCAAGAGAGTGCAGCTCGTAGTCGCGGTGAGCAGCTATGTGCAGCAGTACCCGAAGAGTGGTCATCTTCGGGGTGGGAGAGAAGGTCTGAAAGTAGTCAACTCCCTGCCGCTGACTGAAGCCACGAGCCACGTAACGCGCCTTGAAGACAGGCGGAGAACCCGGCGGCCGCTTCAACCTAAAAATCCACATGCCACTGACGATGTTCGCCCCAGGCGGGGGAACCTCGTCAACGTAGGTGCCTGTGGACTTCCAGGAAGCCATCTCTGCGTCCATAGCTGCCTGCCACTGAGAGGAGTAGGGACCCTCTATCGCCTCCGCGTAAGAGCGCGGAGTCGGGATGTCAAGTGCATCCGGGTCTCCCTCAGGGGTAAGCAGTACGGACACGAGATGAGGTGAAGCAGCAGCCAAACACTGGAACTCCTCCTGCCTGTCCTCAAGGACGTCCGTGCCAAGGGCACACTCACCCCCGACGGACGGAGGACAGACAGACTCAGACTCAGCAACAAGACTAGCAGCGTAGTCTAGACGACAGCGAGCAGCAAAGTCGACGAGCTCAGTAACTAGGGCAGACGCAGCAGTGGACTCAAAGGAAGGGTCAGTGACAACAGTAGCAAGGAGACGCGTGACAGTAGGACTGGCAGCACGAAGAGAGTCCGACTCCGGGTCAGGAAGAGCAGGAAGAGAGGACTCAGGAGGAGAAGGCAAAGGGGCACGCAGAGGAGCAGTGGACGGACGCAGAGACATCCGGTGCGTGCCAGGGACAGGAGGAGGACGCTGACGCGAACCACGACCACTAGTGCGAGCAGCACGGACAGGCGACGCAGGGCGAGACGCTGGCTCACGACGCTCAGCAAGACCTCCAGTAGGACCAGTGTAGGGAGAAGGAGCAGGCAGTGGGGAGGCCGGCTGTAACTGTAACTGTGACGGGACAGGCTGTGGACACTCTAAGGGAGGAGGAGGACCAGTAGAAGGCGGGAGACCAAGAACCTGCTGAAGGAGCGGAACGAAGTATGGCCGAGGCCGCGCGGCGACTCCAGACACAGCAGGGACAGCACCAGTACCCCCAGCGGCAGCACCAGCGCCAGCAGCACCTCCAGCTCCAGTACCTCCAGCAGCACCAGTAGCACCCCCAGCAGGACCGCCTCCAGGACCGACAGCAGTAGCCTCAGCGCCAACACCCTCAGCAGCTCCAGCTCCAGTCGTACCCGCAGGCCTAGCAGCTCCAGTACTCCCAGTACGAGCACCTCCGGGACCCGCGGCACCAGCACCCTCAGCAGTCGAAGAACCTCCAGCTCCAGCAGCACGCCTCCAGCGCCGGGCAAACCACTCGCGCAGCTCCTGTGGAGAGAGTGGCTCCCGCCGAGACGAAGCACCCGGAGAACCTCCAGGCTCAGCACCTCCAGACGCCACACGAGCAGGCCCAGCTCCCTCAAGCTCCGCACCCCCAGGCTCAGCACCTCCAGGCGTAGCACCCCCAGGCTCAGCACCCCCAGGCTCAGGACCCCCAGTAGTAGCACCCTCAGGCTCAGCACCCCCAGGCGTAGCACCCACACGCTCAGCACCCCCAGAGTCAGCACCCCCAGGCTCAGCACCCTCAGCAGCACCAGAGTCACCAGTAACCTCGACAGGCTCGACTGCGTCTACCTGGGACACACCTGAAGGGGCAGGACCCTGAGGGGGGAGGGGGTCTACCGGGGGGGGACCTGGCACAAGGAAGAGCGGTGGCGGGGGGAGGGACGGAGTGCGGTAGGGGAAGAGGCGGTAGTAGGGGACCGACTCGTCAAACGTGACGTCCTGGGAGGACAGAACACGGCGAGAGGTGTGGTGGTAGAACTGCCACCCTGGCGCGTCAGGGGGGAAGCCAAGGAAGACGCAAGGAGCAGCACGAGGGGACAGCTTGTCCGCAGACAAGTCGCGGACAAACGCCCGAGATCCCCAGACACGGAACGCAGACGCATCGCCAACCTTCCCCGTCCACAGCAAGGCTGGGGAGGTCTCCGGCATGGAGACCCTGGGGTGAAGGTTGATCTGATGCGCCGCGTACCGAACAGCAAACGGCCACAGAAAATGGGGGGCAGCCGCATGCATCATGGACGTACAGGCGACGTCCATGACCATGCCAATGCGGCGCTCAGCAATCCCATTTTGCTGTGGAGAGTCCGGAAGCGTGAAGGTCTGGCGGATGCCTCGTGCACGACAGTAGGCTCGCAGAAGGCCAGAGGAGAACTCTCCACCTCTGTCAGGGTGCAGACGCAGAATAGGAAAGTCCGAGCCGAAGCTCTGCCTGGTCTGGAGA